CTCTCTCTCTCTCTCTCTCTCTCTCTCTCTCTCTCTCTCTCTCTCTCGTGGTCAGGGGGAGGGGAGGGGCAGAACCACCCCCAGAGAAGTGCTTTGGGGGAGCCTGGCTGGGACTGCTCCGGGTGAACAATGACCCTGCTTTTCTTCCAAGGACTTGGTCTCTTCCCCCCTCCTCCCCTCGGGGGGCCGGCGCCTCTTCTGGACAATTCCATTTCTGTTGGAATCCTGCCCTGGGAGCTGTCCAGCAACCCGACCTCTCTGGGAACTGAAAAGGCTCCCTTTGGGGCCTCAGCCCTGCCTGGCCAGAGCATGAGCAGCCCCTCTGTTGGCCCCCAGCCCTGAAGCACCTGACCTTTGGCTGACCCGTGAGGGTTTGCTGGCCTCGTGCCCCCTGAGCAGGGGGCTGGCATGGTGTACAGTCTGACGGGCTGCCTGGTGGTTAGACCATGGTGTTTAGGAGGCCAGGCTGGTGTGAAGGGGGTGAGGCTGGATACGATCCTCCCACAGTCACTAACTTCTTCAAAGCACAATGTAGCTAGCCGACAACTGGGGGCAGTGAGAGCCCGCCTGACCCCCAACTTTCAGCCCCCTCCCCCTGGAGACAGCCTTGTCTCAGCTACTTATCTCTGTTCATGAGGACAGGGAGGTTTCCTTTTTGTCTTCCTATTCCCGGCACCCGGGGCAGTGTTTTGCACATAGTAGGTGATCAATAAATCCTCACTGCATTGGATCTGATCCCTTTCTGGGTTCCTTCGTGTCTCAGGAGGAGTGTCCAAGAGCACATGGCCCTCTACCTTGCCAGCATGAGCCACTGGGGGAGTGTGGATGGCTCTGGGGAGTCCATCCCCATGGCTGGATCTCCTGTCCCTGTCCTGCTGACAGGTCTCTGGGGTAGGGAAGGACAGGGACTGCTTGTATCTGGGGACGTCTCCAGGAAGAGTTTGGCCAGCTTCTGGCAAGGCATCATGGAGAAGGGACCCCCAAACCTGGAAGCATTGGACTTGACTTGGGACTTGGAAACTTACTAGCTCAGACCCTGTCCTTTGGGACCTCTGTGGGGGCTGCCGCTATCATAACGCAGTGCCAGGAGGGGCGATTAACCTGGATTGGTAAACCTGGCTTTAGATACCCATATTTTAACATCCTTGGTTTCCCAGTTTATTCTATGCATTTAAAAGTGCAGGGTCTGTGGGTGGCACCAGATGCCAAAAAGGGGGAAATCCCTGAGCAGCAGCTCCCTGGGCCAGGCAAGGACTGACCCGCAGGGAAGGCACATCCACTCTGAAGCAGGAAGACATGGGTTCCAGTTCCACCTCTGACATTGCTCCCCAGGGGACCTCAGGCCTCAGTTTCCTCTCTCTAAAACAAGGGCCTTTGAAGTCTCTGACAGTTCTGGACCTGGGATGCACTGGTTCTCCAGCTGACCAGCTCCTGGCATTGCCCAGGTCCCAGGAAGGCTAGCTCCTGGTGAGCCAGCACAACCATTTCCAGGCCCTCTCCCACCCCGCTGCTTACCTCTGACTTGCCCGTCTTGGCGGCCAGCTGGAGCGGCGTGAGGCCATCCCTGTTCTGCGCCGTCTCCAGCTCTGGGTCCTGGCTTCTCAGGAGAATCATGTTGTACATCTCTTGGACGAAGTCATTCTGTGTCTTACTGTCTTCGGCCACCGTCACCAGCGCATGCAGAATGTTGTTTCCGCGTGAGTCCTGGGAAGCAACGTCCGTCTTCTCGTTGTCCATCAGCAGCTGGACGATTTCTGGCTGGTTGGTGCAGGCAGCCAGAGCCAGGGGCGTTTCACCTGCAATTGGGAGTCATGTGATCAGCCCAGTGCCCCCCCATTTATACCTTCATGCACTCTCCACCAAACTGCCAGCCCAGGTAGGATTCATCTCTGGGTCTTGGGCACTGGGTGAATGAGGGGTGACCAGCCGAGTGGGCATTGGAAAGGGTAGGAATGCAAGGGAGGGGCAGTCACCTTGCCCCTTACCCCTGAGTTTAGCTTTGTTCTTGCGCCTTTTCTACTTTGGCAGGGGGAGGGAGGAGAAGGGGTGCTCAGCCCCTAGAACTCTGGAAAGTTTTCTAGAAGAGGAACCTTGTGAAGAATGCTGTTGAGGCTACTTCAGCCCCTGTAAATTAAATTGGGAGTTACATAGACTTTCTGACCCCAAATCAGACAGAGACTCCTGAGACAGACCCCACCCTGCTGAAAAAAGCAGATTTAAGCCTTAAGGAGTCTATCAGCTGGAGCACCTTTGTGTTCCTAAGAGTCTGGGGCCTGGGGAGTGGGATCTCCTTCTGGAGAGAAAACACCCATTCCAGTCACTCGAAGCTCAGAGGGACAAACCAGCCCCTCTCCCATCACCAGAGCATATCCCTGGTCCATGATGGGCTGTGTGAGGTTCCTGCCTTCAATTTAAAAAAAAAAAAGCAGCAGTAGCAACAAACCAGAAAATCAGGCTATACATGAAAAGAGAGGTGGGAGAGACTCAAGGCGGGGACTCCAGCTGAAGCCAAGGGCTAAAAGTGGAGAGGAGCCATCCTGCCAGGGGAGCAGCAGCCAGCTGTGACCAGGAGAGCAGCAGAGCAGGGCCACAGTGACCATGTGTGGCCCTCAGAGCAGTGACCAGGGGTGACCAGGAGACCAGCAGAGCAGTGACCAGTGGTGACCAGGAGACCAGCAGAGCAG